GTATAAGCATATAGTATAAATTATGAGAAGAATGGTGAAGAATGATAAAGATTGAGTATTTATTCTGACTTAGGCTAGATTGTAATAAATTTGCGATAAATATAGTTCATAAACAAAGGAATTGTGTAGATTGTTCATTTTAAAAAATGTACCTGGTCATTTTGTCAGTATGTACTTCTAAAAAGTATCAAATTAAAACGATACAGTAGCCTGATATTTCTTGATTTTGAATATTTTTCAACTGAAGTCAGTAAATGATTAAAACTATTTATCAAAGGTAGTAGCATTCAATTAAAGCTTAATTATAGAGGTTTAAAACGATTGGTCCATTTGACAAATTTAAGTACTTCGATGAGTAGATGATTTTTATTAAAACTGTAATATATGAAGCTAATACATATTTCATTTTATCTCTAGTTTGATCTTTGTCATCCATGTTTGAAAATCTTGAAATATAAATAAATGTCAGTATGGGGTTGTAAAGATTATTAGTCTTTTAATTGAGATCATGAATCGATTGATGTTAAACCACTATGGAAAACCGGGAAGCACTGGACGGCCGTTTCGTTCTATTGTGGGACTCCTCAGCAGTGCGCGTCCACGATCCCGCTAGCGGGACTCGAACCCAGAGCCTTCGGTCTCGCGCGCGGACGCTTAACGTCTAGACCACTAAGCCTGCATCCAACGGTGCTAATGTCTAACCTCAACCAACCCACGAAATAAATGATCAGAGAGTTCCAAAATCACATTCGTTCTGATAAACTTAATTCTTAGAGTTTAATTTTAATTTTAAAAAGAATATGATGAACTGGTCAAAAAGAAGTCAGTTCAATGTTTGCAATTACAGTATAACAATTACTGAACTAACTAAAGAAATCCAATAAGTTATTAAGAAAGAAATACGGTTCACTGAATCAAGTTTTTTTCATGAATATGTCATTTATTGTTTAATAATGCTGTTTAGCAGACATGCTTCCAAGAACTTCACTATTTGTGGATTTTGTAAACTACTTACTCCATATTTCACCAATAAAGTTTTCAGTATTTTTTTCAAAAATTCCAACACCACTCTGTTTTAATATGAAAAATTATCCAATCATACTTCGTTATTTTTTATGCAAACTAAATGCATACATAAGTTTTGAAAGTGGTTCACTTAGTGAATATCCCATTGAATAAACTTCATGAACTGCAATTTTATTTGATAGCAGTAAATCTGATTTCCTTTGAATTATAATGACTTAGTTTAAAAATTTAAATAAATTCATTTGACAGTATTTTCTGTCGGAGTGAATAAGAGTACATTACTTTGAGGTTCCATAAATGTTATTAATGAATCACAGTAAGCACTAAGTTAGTGTCTGAAACATTGGTTAGTTTTTAGTAACAGAACTACGAACTTGGCTCTTGTACAAATGATAGGAAGATACACTTGAGCTACTCATTAGTAATATTTATGATATAGGAGCCAAGTAGCACAGGTTTAAATTCGTGTGGCACCGTGAATGTCTTCATGATTTCAATAAGT